CCTTAAGTAGCATTTGGGAGAAAGCAAGGGCTAGGGACCAGCAAAGAGAGGTGGCAGGAGATAAGGGACAGTGGGGCTTTGTTCTGCAAGGGATGAGACCAGTTGCTGAAGCAAGGTCTAGGGGCAGGCAAAGGAAGGTGGCGGGAGATAAGAGACAGTGGGCTTTGTTCTGCAAGGGATGAAACCAGCTGCAGCTCAGGCTGCAGAATGGTGGCAAGGGGCAGTTCTTATCACTATCTCGAAAAAAACCCTTCACAAAAAAGGGCTGGTGGAATGGCTCAAGATGTAGGCCCTGATTTCAAACCCCAGTACTGCAAAAAAATTTTTTGTTTTTCATTTTTTTGGTGGTGCTGGGGTTTGAACGCAGGGCCTTATGCTTGCTAGGCAGGCACTCTACTGCTTGGTGTACATCTCCAGCCTGTAAGTTTTGTTTTGTTTTTGTATCACTATGTAGCCCCAAGCTGACTTTGAACTTTTCAGCCACTTGCTTCAACCTCCCAAATGCTGGGATTATAGGCAAGAACTACCACACCTGGTTTTTGTTTTGTTTTGAAGACTGATTCTGGCCTTTTTTGTGGGTGTGTGTGGTGCTTGGGACTGGACCCATGGTCTCAGACATGCGAGGCAAACCCTGTGCCACTGAGACACACTCCTAACCTTATGCAATTTTATAGACTTGAGCACCTCAGGATTTGGTAACCTGGGGAGGGGTTCTGAAGCCAATCCTTTGAGGACACTGAGGGATGACTGTATGTCTGTAGATGTGTGTACACACTTAAAGGAAGTCCCATGCACATCCCTCCACACACTGGTGAACACCGGGGACACATCAGAAGCACAACAGACATCCTTTTCCTCATGGAGATAACCTTGTTTTTGCATCTTCCTCAGTTAAAAGTGAGCCTCCAGGCTAGAAGTGGTGGTGCACGCCTGTAATTCAAGTATTCAGGAGGCAGAAGTAGGAGGGTCACTATTGCAACCAGGCAAAAGCTCAAGTCCCTGTATGAAAAATAAAGTAACCAGGCGCCATTGGCTCCCACCTGTGAGCCTAGCTACTCAGGAGGCAGAGATCAGGAGGATCGTGGTTTGAAGCTAGCCAGGGCAAATCTATTGCAAAAAAGGAGTGGTGGAGTGGCTCAAGGTATAGGTCCTGATCAAACCCCAGTACAGGAAAAAAAAAAAAAAGACAGAAAAAGAAACTAAAGAAGAAATGGCTGGGGTATGGCTCAAGTGTAAGGCCCTGAGTTCAAGCCCCAGAACTGCCAAAACAACACCACCAACAAAACCAGTGATTATAAAATCATGTCACTGATGTAGCTCAGCAACAGAGCATGTGGTTGGCATGCTTGAGGCCCTGAGTACTAGCCCCAGCACCACAACCAAAAGAGAACAAAAAAAATCTTCTTGTAACAATCTTTATCCTTATTCTATAATGTCACACTTAGTGTTGCCCTAATGTTTTAAATAATAAAATTGGAATTTAAAAGTTTACTAAACCAGCAGGATGCAATTGCCCACACTGTGGTCCCAGCTACTCAGGAGGTTGAGAGGAAGGGGTGGGGGGGGTGGGGGAAGGGAGGGAGCGAGGAAAAATGAGTAAAATTTCAGGATCATCCCTGAAGTCTGTGCAAGGATGATGATGTTTAACCTCAACCAAAATTCACTTTCAACTTGATTATTGGTTTGCACTCAAAATACTCATTCAGAGAACACAAGCCTAAGGGATAGAGGAATGTGCACCGCTGTGGGTCCCGGGAAGGCGTGGACTCCCCAGGGCTCACACACGCCTCCTCCCAGCAGCAGGCAAACGGGAGCCGCATACACGTTCTCTACTCCACGCCTGCTTGTTACCTCCAGGAGCTGAACAAGGCCAAGCTCACCTGGTATTTGGGGCGTCTGGGGAGCTTGAGGGGAGGGGGACTGGCATGCCCCATGGGTCTTGACCCTGCCCACAATGTCCCTGACGCTGCAGGTCGCTGAAGGAGGATGACTTCTTTCCTTATGCAGACGGCCCCAACATGTTCTGGACCGGCTATTTTTCCAGCAGGCCGGCCCTCAAACGCTATGAGCGCCTCAGTTACAACTTCCTGCAGGTGAGTGGGCGCGGGGCTCCAGGGGGCAACTCAGGAGGCCCAGGTCAGTTGGACCTGGTGCCCAACAGACCCCTTGCTTTCCAGGTGTGCAACCAGCTGGAGGCACTGGCAGGTCCGGCAGCCAACGAGGGACCTTATGGCTTGGGAGACAGTGCACCCCTCAGTAGGTGATGGGCAGATGAGGGGACGCAGGAAAGGCGGAAGTTAGAAACCACTCCTAGGCCACCCCTTGGAAGTCTCCTGCTTTTTTTGGTGGGACTGGGGTTTGAATTTAGGGTCTCGCACTTGGAAAGCAGGCGCTCTACTATTTGAGCCACGCCTCCAGTCCATTTCGCTGTGGTTAGTTTTGGAGATGAGGTCTCACGAATTATTTGCCCAGACTGGCCTCGAACCGTGATCCCCCCGATCTCAGCCTCCCAAGTAGCTGGGATTGACAGGCGACAGCCACCGGCGCCCGGCTCTAGTCCCTTTTTAAAGCCCCTGAGAACCCTGTCCACCCGCTTCGGACCCTTTGCGTCTCCTTGGGGTCGAGGCTGAGAGTTCTGCGGAGACCCCCCCAACCTGACTCGCGTTCTGCGGGCAGATGAGGCCATGGCGGTGCTCCAGCACCATGACGCGGTCAGCGGCACCGCCAAGCAGCACGTGACCTACGACTACGCGCGCCAGCTGGCGGCTGGCTGGAGACCCTGCGAGGTGCGAGGGGCGGGGCCTGGGGGAGGACGGGGCGGAGACAGGAGGGGGCGTGGCTTTGGGAGGTGAGGCGTGTCCTAGAGAGCCTTGCGGGGCCTGGGCTCTTGGGAGGAGGAGCAGAGAGAATGGGGCGGGGCCTAGAGGGCGTGGCGGAGGCAAGTTTAGGGAGGGAGTGGTTTAGGGCAATGGGCGGAGCTTAGAGGGGCTTTCTGAGGGCGGGTCAGAGGCGCGATTGGATGGGATCGAGGCAGTGGGGCGGGGCACCGGCAGGAGGGGTGGAGACCCAGGTGCGGACGCTTGTGCGGAGCGGACCTGGGTTCTTGGGTCCCCAGGTTCTCCTGAGCAACGCGCTGTCCCGGCTCAGCGGCTACAAGGCGGCCTTCTCGTTCTGCCTCAAACTCAACATCAGCATCTGTCCCCTCAGCAAGAAGTTAGCGCACGTGAGTCGGGGCAGGAGCCCAGCAGGGGCAGGGCTTGGGGCGAAGAGGAGGGGTGGATGGAGGCCAATGCACAAGGGGGGATGGGTTGTCCTGGAAGGTCGTGACTTCAGAGGGGCGTCGGTCCACCTGATGCGTGGGTTTGGAGAAGCCCTTCCGTAACCCAGGCCCTCTCTGACTCCCCACCGCAGTTCCAGGTCACCATCTATAACCCCCTGGGGAGGAAGGTGAATCATATGGTACGACTGCCAGTCAGCAAAGGCATTTTCAACGTGAAGGACCCCAACGGCAAGATTGTGCCCAGCAGTGTGAGCCTCCTCCATGGATATTCCGCCCTCGTGGGCGTTCCCCCTGTTCTCATTGATACCTCCGCCATGAATCTTCTAACCCCTGTGTATCTCGTCTTCCCTGTCACTGAAACCCCTCTTGGGAACATCTTCCTCCCATGAGTGGCCCACGTTTTAAATATTCCCCACCTCCAGGGCCAGCCTGCACTACATAATTACAAAAAAATTTTAAACCCAGCCCAGGAAACTTTTTTCTCTTTTTCTTTGCTTTTTTAAGTTTGTTTTTTGTTTTTGGGGTAGGGTTTCACGATGTAGCCCAGGCTGGCTTGGAACTAGCCGTCCTCCTGCTTCAGCCTCCTGGGGTGCTGGGGAATGCAGGTGTGCGTCCTCATGTCCTCTCCCCCGACAAAAATTTCCCGATTATGGCTAGCCCTTTCACCCCACAAGGCCTCCTCCCTTTGAACCTCTTTCTCTTCTAAGGATCTTTCTTTTTAACTTCCCACCTCAAGGATCTCTTTCTCTGCATCCTCCTTTACTTCTTCCAACTGGAGGTCTCTCCGCCCTCCCAATTGATTTTTTTCCGCTTTGGGAATCTATGGGTACTCTTTTCTTTCTTCTCTTCCTCTGCCTTTTCCCCTCCTCCCCTCCTCTCCCTTCCTCCCTTCTTTCTTCTTTGTGCTGGGACTGGAACCCAAGGCCTTCTGCATGGTAGGCACTGACCTATGTCCCCAGCCCCCTCTCTTGGAACCTGACCCCCTCCTACTGTAACACCCAGATCTCTATCAACATCCACTCCTGTCATCTGTGCGTCGGATGCCTGCACTTGTGAATGGCCCTACAGGTGTACTTACAGCTTCCTGACTCAGTTTCCCTCCTGTCTCACTCCAGGTGGTGGTTCTTCCCAGCTCTCAGTATCCTGAGGACCACTCAGAGCTGCTGTTCTCTGCCTCAGTGCCTGCCGTAGGCTTCAGCATTTACTCAGTAGCCCGTGTTTCTGGCTCTAACCTCTGGGACCATACTCCCAAGTCCAGATTCCGAGAACCCCAGACCCGTGTCTTGGCCATTGAAAATGAGGTGAGGCCCTATTTGGACTCTGTTCCCTGTCCCTGTGACAAATTTGAAGTGGGTCATTAGGTCCTTGTTTCACCATCTCTCCTCCTAATTGTGTCCTTGAGTGAATGCTTTCATCTGAGCATTAGGGTCCTGTCTGAGGCTGTTGTGAGGATCCATTGTGACCAAGAGTGATGCTTGATATTTACGTCAGAACTGATGGCAGGTGGGCGGTTGCAATTTTAGGGAAGAGGGGGTCAGGGAAGGCTTTCCAGAAAAGGTGACATACAAGTTGAAGCCCAGGGTTGGAATTGTAGCTCAATGGTAGAGGTCTTGCCTAGCGTTTGCGAGGCTCTGGGTTCCATCTCCAGTACAGCAAAAAAAAAAAAAAAAAAGAGAGAGAGCTGGGGCTATGGGCATGGCTCAAGTGGTAGAGCGCCTGCCCAGCAAGATCGAGGTTCTGAGTTCAAACCACACTACCAGAAAGAAAAAAAGAAAAAAAGACAAGACTTGAGGGAGTGGACCATGTGATGGCTTGTGGGAAGAGGGAACACAGTGGACACACACAAAAGCCCTTAGGTGGGAGGCATTCAGTGTTCAAGGAACCCTAAGGGACCCAGTGTGACTGAAGCAGGATAGGGTGGTGACAAGGAAAGCCTTGAGGATGTAGAGGGAGGCTTTGGGTCTTACTGTGAAGGACAGGATTGAATTAAGAAGCATCATGGTGGCTGGGGGTATAGCTCAGTGGTGGAGTGCTTGCTTAGCGTGCATGAGATCGTGGGATCCATTCCCAGCACCCTGAAAACAAAACAAGAAGTGACTGTCATGGGCCCTGGCACTTTTGCCTTTATGGTCCCATTTTTCATAAAAAATATTAATAATTATATTTTATGATGCTGCTGCTATAAAGATAAGTACATCTAGTCAAGTCTCATTATAACATTTTCTACATTCATCTTTTTTTTGTGTGTGTGGTACTGGAGTTTGAACTCAGGGTCTTCACCTTGAGCCACTCCACCAGCCCTTTTTTGTGAAGGGTTTTTTGAGATAGGGTCTTGAGAACTAGTTGTCCAGGCTGGCTTCGGACTGCGATCCTCCTGATCTCTGCCTCCTGAGTGGCTGGGATTACAGTTGTGATCCACTGGCTCTGAGCTCTGTTATTATTCTATTCAAGTTTTCTTTGGATTCTCAAAGAAGTGAAAACATTTCCATGGGCCCATGAAAGTCTTGTGAGTCCTGGCAAGATGCCCAAGTTGGCTCTGCCCTGGAGCAGATAAGGTCTATGATTGGATTCAATGTGTCACAGGTGTCCCTGGCTGCTGAGGGGAGGGGGGCGATTGTGAGAAACAAGCACAGAATGGAGGGGACCTGCAAAGGGGCCAGCTGCATTAGTCCCTGAGGGTCATGGAGTGACAAGAAGTGTCAAGATTGAGGATGACAAGGTTGAAGAGAGAGGCTGGTAGGATTTGCTAATGGGCTCCAGTGTGGGGAGTGAAAGAATGAGAAGAGTTAAGGATGACTGCAGGGTTTTATTCCCCAGACCTGGGAAAGATGGAGCTGCTATTAGCCTAACCCATGATCATTTACTTCTATCCTCCCTTTCCTGCCCAGTATATCCGGGCTATATTCAACCCTGACACAGGACTATTGATGAAGATTGAGAACTTGGAACAGCAACTCGTGCTGCCTGTGAAGCAGTCCTTCTTCTGGTGAGGAGGACTGGACTTCGAGGCCAGGGGTGGGGCCAGGAGGGGCACAGAGCCAAGGCCCCTTACCTGACTCTCACCTCATACTCTCAGGTATGAGGCCAGTATAGGTGACAAGGACAGCAGTCAGGCCTCTGGTGCCTACATCTTCAGACCCAGCCAATCGGAACCAGTGCCTGTGAGCCGCTGGGCTCAGACCCACCTGGTGAAGGTCTGTGGCCTGGCATGATGAGTGGGCATTTGGGGAGGTGTGTGTGGAAGGTGGGAGCATGATGTGCGAAGGGCAGGGTGAAGATATTTGGGGAGCTGTCACACCTACTTTAGATAAAGGGTAAGACCTGAGGGTCCCTCTATAACATGGCTGATATTCATAGCTGCTTATATGTCAGTTTCTCCCAACATTCACATCTGCTGAGATGTCAGGATTATACTTAATTTTGGAAATTGGGGGTGCGTGTGGAGAGCCAAGTGTAGCTGCTTAAACAGTTTACCAAGGCCTATGGTAGGAGTTTATATCTTGGGCCTAGGGATGTAGCTCAGTGGTAGAGTGATTGCTTAGCATGAGTGAGGCCCTGGGTTCTACCCCCCAGAACTGTATTAAAAAAGAAAAATGAAAAAAAGGAGAAGGTAGTTATTGAAATAGAAAGTGTAGGCAGGTGGGAACATTCCCATGATGTTGGTGGAACTGAAGTAGATATAGGTCTTGGGGTTCCCAGCCATGGGGGAGCATTTTCAGGGCTCACCTTTGCTCACGTGTGGGCTGACACCTGTCCTCTGTCCCCATGTGCCTGCAGACAGCCTTGGTGCAGGAAGTACACCAGAATTTTTCAGCCTGGTGTTCCCAGGTGGTTCGCCTCTACCCAGGACAGCGTCACCTGGAGTTGGAGTGGACGGTGGGGCCAATTCCTACGATGTGAGTGGCACGGGCTGGGACTGGAGTGGCAGAGCAAGGGCAGAGTGGAGTTTAGCGACGCTCATGACCTTGTCATCCCTTTGAATACAGTGACAATTGGGGGAAGGAGGTCATCAGCCGCTTTGACACACCTCTGAGGACAGAGGGACAGTTCTACACAGACAGCAATGGCCGGGAGATCCTGAAGAGGAGGTTGGGTGATTGAGGATGCCATGGGGTGGATGGTTATTGCCGTGTTGGGGCCCAGGGGCAGGGTGGTGGGTGACCATTTGTTGAGTGTGTGGGAGGGGGAGCCAGGAATGGGGGAGTCGGACTTACATCTAACTGAGTCACACTCTACCCCAGGAGGGATTATCGACCTACCTGGCAGCTGAACCAGACTGAGCCGGTGGCTGGGAACTACTATCCAGTTAACAGCCGAATTTACATCACGGTAGCCCTCCTCCATCCTGGCCCAAGTCACCCCTTATTCCTGGCATCTCCCAGGGCTGGAACTGACACATACAGACCTTCATTCTCACTCATCCTTCACCCCCACTTCCCTAGGATGGGTACATGCAGCTGACGGTGCTGACTGACCGCTCCCAGGGGGGCAGTAGCCTGAGTGACGGCTCACTGGAGCTCATGGTGAGTGGGCAGAACCCCATCCGAGCCCGGCTCGTCACATCAACACCCTGCTGGACCTTGGAGGCTGCTCTGTCTCAGTTCTGTGCTTGTGGCTGACAGGAAGCTGAGAAATCCTTTCCTCTGTTCATCTTTTCCTCCTTTTATCCAGCTCCTACCCACATCCCTGTCTAGGCCCTGATGTGTCCTATCCATGTCCAGGTTTCCTTGCCAGTTGTACTCCACTTCTGCTGAGGGCACCCTGACCTTTATCCTGATCCATTCCCCCATTATTTATTTAGTTAGTTTTGAGCATGTAGCAGGCTGAACTTGAACTCCAATTATCCTGCCTTAGCCTCCTGAGTGCTGGGATTATAGGTGTGAGCTATCATGCCCAGCTTCGTTACCCCACTATTTCTGTTGAAATACAAGTCTTTTTTTTTTTTGCATTGCTGGGGTTTGAACTCAGGGTCTTGAGCCACTCCACCAGCCCCTTTTTTGTGAGAGGTTTTTTTGAAGTAGGGTCTCACCAACTATTTGCCCGAGCTGGCTTCAAACCTTGATCTTCCTGATCACTGTCTCCTGAGTAGCTAGGGTTACAGGCGTGAGACACCAGCTCACCTTTACCCAACTTCTGGCCCTGGGACACCTGCTAGACCTGTACCCTCCTGTCTACTTTCCACCCAGGTGCACCGAAAGCTACTGGTAGACGATGAACGAGGAGTCGGCGAGCCACTGTTGGATGAGGGGTCCGGGGAGTGGGTACGAGGGCGTCACCTTGTGCTTCTGGACCAGGTCAACAATGCGGCCGCTGGACATCGCCTTCTGGCAGAGAAGGAGGTCCTGGCCCCACAAGTGGTGCTGTCTCCCGGAGGCAGCATTCCCTACTACTCTGGGGCCATCCCACGCACACAGGTGAGGGGCGGTGGGGCCGGCAAAGAGGAGTGAAGCGTGACAGGGTGTTGGATGGGGTGCAGGTTTTCTTAGGTAAAGCCTGGACCTACCTGGTCCTTCTAAGCCTGGGGAGGCCATCGGCTGGTTCCTTCTCTGCCCTAACCCCTGGGTAAGCCCCGCCCAGTGTCAGCTCAGCCCCAACCCACCTAGAGGGGGTTACCAGCAACCTTGCTCAAGTCCCTTCCCTGCCTCCCCACCTTGGCCCGGTCGCATCTCAGTTCATCCCCACCCTCTCACCAGTTCACCCACACCCTAACTCAATTGGGTCTCAGATAATTTCTGCCTCTTCTGGGGGTTGGAATCCACCCCAACCTGGTGCCACCTTATCCCCTTCACTTACCTGCCCCTCCCCAGTTGAACTCCCATCCAATCGGTCCTGCAGACCTTCGCTGAGTCCCGCCTATCTCTGCTCAAGCTCCGCCCCCTCAGTCCCCAGGTTCCGCCCCCAGCTCAGCCCCGCCCCCGTCCCAGCTCAGCCCCGCCTCCTTCCGCAGTTCTCAGGACTTCACCAGCCCCTGCCGCCCTCAGTGCGCCTGCTCACACTGGCCCGCTGGGGCCCAAAGATGGTGCTGCTGCGCTTGGAGCACCAGTTTGCCGTGGGGGAGGATTCAGGCCGCAACCTGAGCTCCCCTGTGACCTTGGACTTGCAGGTGAGGAAGGCAGAGGTGGGAAGGAGAGGGGAGAGGCTAGAGAGAAGGGCAGAGGTGAAAACTCAGCTTGTCCACTCCCTGCAGAACCTGTTCGCGACCTTCATCATCACCCACCTGCAGGAGACTACCCTGGCAGCCAACCAGCCCAGGGCCAGCGCTTCCAGGCTCAAGTGGACACTAAACACAGGTGGGGACCTGGCGGGGGTCCTGCCTAGGACCTGCAACTGGGGGTGATGTGTGAGCTGTGGGAATATTGCTCAGGACCCAGTGTAGAGCTTGAGGGCCATGGGGGAAGGGCACCCAGGTCCCAGGCTAGGAGTTTTAAGGGTCAGAAGTGAGTCTAGCAGTCTACCAATGAACCTGAAGAGTTTGGAGATGGCGTTTAGTCCCAAGAACGGGACCGGAGAATCTCCATCAGTGTCTAATTCTTGGATGGTGCCCACGCCCCCGAGTCAGCTTGAGGCTCTATGAGCAGTAGCTAGAAACTGGTGAGGATTTGGGAATTTTGGAGCGGTATTCAGGCCCAGAGAAGTGGTTTAAGGGTCTGAGTGTGAGGCTCTAGGGATAGATCTGAGCGTGCATAACTGTGTCCAGGCCCAGGGGAAGGGACCACCACTCATTCATTCTTCCTTCCCTGTCCCCAGGTCCCATCTCCTCTCCTACTCCTCCCAAGCTGAACCCTGCCTCCATCACACTGCAGCCCATGGAAATCCGAACTTTTGTGGCCTCAGTGAAATGGAAAGAGGACAGCTAGGCCTTCTGGGAAGACCCCTTTGGTGCCTAGTGTCCTGCTCCAAGGATGGGGTAGGCAGTCCCCCTCCTCATCTTGCTGTTGCCATTCACAAAAGCCATTAAAATGCCACTACTAATGTCTCAGGTCACGGTGTGACTGAGTGTGCATTGTTTTACTTTTTGGGCGGGGCGGTGAATTCATGACCCAGAAAAAGGGTCAGCCCTGACCAGAAGCCTTGTGGGGAGGTCCCAGGCACACTCACAGCCCTGTTGGGGGCTGTTTTTTCTGAGTCAAGGAAGCAGAGACAGAGCCTTCACCAGACATGGAATCATCTGGGGCCTTAATCATGGATCTCTCAGCCTCCAGAACCATGAGAACTTCCTATTATTTATAAATTACCCATTCTAAGGTATTTTGTTGTAGCAGCAGGAATGGACTAAGAAAGTCACCCTCGAAGGAGAGGGATCATCTGGATAGGCCCAGGGAGGGTATCCTTGGCAAGCTGTCGTACCACAAGGCTCTACTGGATAAACCTACCCAAAACTTTTGAGACAGTCACAGTATGTAGTTTAGGCTGGCCTTGAACTCACCATCCTGCCTCTTCCTTCTGGGTGCTGAGATTACAGGTGGGCCCCACCATGCCCAGCCTCCCCAAAACTTTTGGTCTCTCTATAGAAGGAGAACCAGCCAGGGTAGTCTGGGGAATGGGTCCCAGGGTTGTCTGACATCTTGTGCTGGGCACCATTCCTCACATACGCGTCCAGAAAAATTTTCCAAGTGACTCTCCAGAGAGAGGCGGTGGCCTAGTGGCTATTTGCCATCCTAGAGGGTGCTTAGTTGTCAGATGTAGTTCTCCAGAATATTTTTAAGTCCTCTCAGGATGGGGAGACTGATCTGGGATGGCCAGGAAGGTCCTCAGAGGGTGCTGCACCTCCCAGACACAGTCCCATATAAGGCTGGTCACTGTAGGGTGCCTCAAAAAATTTTCTAAGTCCCCTTTGGATGCTGGGCGCAGCACAGCCAGAGAGTTGCGTGGAGGGTGCCCTGACCCCAAAAGGCCACTTTCTGATCGCTGTGGGGCTGACACACACGACTGAGATCCTTACAGATATCTTCCTGGTCCAGGTCCTTGCACGTTGTGACAGTTGTCAGGCACCACCTAGTGGTCAGTTTTATATTGTCCCTGGAGCTGAGCTGCCTTGTATGCAGCCCAAGGAGTTCCAGGAGGCTGGCAGCAATGGCAGGATCCTCCAGGCTGTGACAAAGCACTGCTGCAGATCCAGCACCTCTCATTGTCACTGTGGGATTGGGAAGAGCGGCATCTGAGAACTGCGTGAGCTGAGTAGTGCTGCCCTTAGCTGGGCCACATCCCCATTTGGTGCAGGCCAGGGGCACCCCCTCAGAATTTTGGTAAGTCTCCCTCCCTAGACTGCAGCCCTGGTCCTGGCTCCTGTGTTGGGAGCTGGTCGTAAGGATACCTCTGTTAAACCTTTGAGACCAAGAGCAGTCTGAATGAAGGGTTTATTTATGCCTAGCCAAAGGTAAAACGACTGGTCCTGGAACATATTCCTGAAGCTACAAACTGCATTGTCAGATAACAGCACTTGGAAAAATGTCCAGTTTTGGAGAGAAGAAACAAATCGTTCATATTGAATGACGTATCTATAGTCATATCTATGCCAAGTGAACAAAGTCGTGAGATAGAAAGTTTGTCCATAAAGAGATACCGTTGCTTCCTGGTTGACCCAAAAGCAGAGTGGAATGTGGCCTTGTTCCTTGTCTGCTGAAGCTGTGAGTTAAAATGGCTTTTTCTTTTTCCTCCTTCCGTTCTGTGACTTGTAACTTAATTTAGGACTTTTTTTTTGGTGGTATTGGGGATTGAACTCAGGACCTCACATTTCCCAGGCCAGAACTCTACCACTTGAACCATGTCCTCTTAGCTTTTGCCCAGGTTAGCCTTGGACTCCAATCCTCCTATCTCTGCCACTCGATTAGCTGGGATTACAGATGTGTGACACCACACCTGGCTTAACAGCTCAACATTCTTAACACTACTGAAGGAATTTCAAGTCCCCACCTGTGGATACTCTCACTGGGCCAGATATGAGTGTGGAAGGCAACCCAGGTATGGCCCCTAGTGGTGCATGAGTAGCTAAGGCTCCTAGCCTGGGCTGACAGGCCAAAGCGGGGTGGGCCACTCAGCCATTTTACCATGTGGGACTTGCTTTTTTTTTCTTACATTTATTTGCTCTTCCCTCATTTTTCTAAGTCTCCCTCTGAGATGTGTCTTTGTATCTGTGTGGGGACCAGCCCTGGCCTCACAGGGACACCATGGGAGAGCCCACTGGGCTCTGCTGCTATCATGAGTGAGGCCTGCTCACCAGATTTGCTTCTTGAAAACTTTTCCAAGTGTTTCTCTCCAGTTAGGAGCATGGGCTGTGTCTGGCCAAGGAAGCGAGAGTGGTTGTCCTAGGTGGGGAATGGACCCATTTATTTCCAGCATCTCTAAAAGTTTTCTAAGTACCCCACACAGAACATCCTGAGCCCAGGTGCAACCCCCCCTAACTAATACATGGGTTCTATATTAGTTTTGAGGGCAAGCTAACTGCCCTTTGATTTGTTTTAGAGAGAGGGCTTTCCTGAGTAGCTCAGGTTGGCCTTGAACTCAAGATTCTCCGGCTTCTGTGTCCTGAGTGCTGAGATGACAGCTTTAGACTAGCTTTTACACAATGTAAATTTGTTACTGTTCTGCGTGTTAAGTTGAAGGAGTAGGCAAGGTTGGTTCCTATCTGGAGGTTGTCAGGATGAATCCCTTCCATGCCTCTCTCCTAGCCGCCATACTATGGTTTCCTGGTCATCTTCACTGTTCTTTGACTTGTACCAAAGATCTCTCCTGCATCTTCACATGGCATCCTCTTTGAATGTCTGTTCAGGGCTACAGTGTTTTTCTTCTTTTTCCTGGAAGAGCTGACTATAGCAGTTAATTAATATCTTCATTATTGAGGAATTAATATCTTAATCCTTTAGAATTTAGAATGTCAGGCAAAGCTCAATACAACACCACAAAAAGCAAGTTTGCAAAGGACAAGTTAACCCATTAAGTGACTACAGGAGCAGGTGTAGTACCTACCTCAAACTGTTCCTACCTCTCCCTCTGGGTTCTGGAGTGCTCTCCGAACCCCTGTGGGGGTTTCTATGTAGATTCCATTACGGGCGTGGTTGACTAAATCATTGGCCATTGGTAATTAACTCAACCTCCAGCCTCTCTCTTCTTCATGGAGGTTTGGGGTAGAGCTGAAAACTAGAATCCTCTCATCACACGCTGTTCTGGCTACTAGTCCCTATTCTAAAGCTAACTAGGGACTCACCCCGGGTGACCTCATTAGCATTTGGTCAGGGATAGTTTATTATTTATATTTTGGTGGTCCTGGGGTTTGACTTTTAGTCCCATTTTGCTATGGTTATTTTGGAGTTGGAATGTGGTTAACTATTTGCCTGGGCTGGCCCCAACTGAGATCCTCCCAATGTTAGCCTCCCAAGTAGTGCTTCAAGGTGTGAGCTGCTAGCTTTTTTTTTCTTTTTTGGGACAGGGTCTTACTATGTAGCCCAAGCTGGCCTGGGATTTTCTATGTCCTCCTGGGGTGGCCTTGGACACATGATTCTCCTGCCTTAGCCCCCCAAATGCTGGGATTCCAGGTATGTGCCACCATGCCTGGACTTCTTAGGTCTTTTTGATGTTTCAACTGGGAAATCATGGAACCTATGCATAGATATGTTACTCATATCAAAGATCCATGACAGGCTAGCACAATACTGATGATCAGAACCTTTCCCCAAATGGGAGAAATTCCAGTTTAACATGCACTTATTTTGTTAGTCGTTGGGAATGATATCACAATGATAATGGCAAATAACACAGATGTCACACACCCCTATCACCTGACAGAGTTGGTGATCATGAAGATCAAGACAAAAACAGGCCATGTGCCAGTGGCTTATGCCTGTAATCCTAGCTACTCAGGAAGCAGAGATCAGGAGGATTGTGGTTCAAAGCCAACCCAGGCAAATAGCTTGCAAGACCCTATCTCAAAAAAACTCATCACAAAAAAGGGCTGGTGGAGTAGCTCATGCTGTAGATCACCTAAGGTCCTGAGTTCAAAACCCAGTGCTCACCCCAAAAAAACAAAGACAAAAACCAGTGTTCCATTTGTAAGAGAAAAAAGCATAAGACATAAAAATAACCTAAATTTCTTCCCTCTCATCACTAATGACTGAAGGCACTTCTTATGAAAAGGTTTACACCACTGTTTTTTGATGGTACTGGGGTTTGAGTTTAGGGTCTTGCAAATGCTAGGCAGGTGCTCTATCACTTGAGACACACCTCTAGCCCTTGTTGGTTTAGTTATTTTTGGGATTGGGGCCTAGACCATGATCCTCCTGGATCCTATTTATGCTTCTTGCATAGCTGGGGTGACAGGCATGTGCCACCACACCCAGCTTTTATGGTTGAAATGGAGTCTAGAGAACTGTTTGCTTGGGCTGGGCTTGAACCTCAATCCTCCTGATCTCTCCCTCCTGAGTAGGTGGGATTACAGATGAGCTAAGCTTTAACTCCACTTGTTTTTGCTGAATGACAAAATCCAGAATCCTTTTCTCAGTTGAAGAAATGTTTTGCTTTTTTTGTTGTTGTTGTTTAAACAGTACTGGTGTTTGATCTTAGGGTCTTGAGCAGGCTAGGCAAGTGCTTTACCACCTGAGCCATGCACCTGGCCCTGTTTGCTTCCTTGAATAACAATCAAATCACCTAGTGCAAGCCCAAAATTCTGCAAGATGTGCTATTGTGTACCTTTTTGCTGATAATCTCATTTATTTATGCTTTTGCATACTATTATTATAACTTGTGTATCCTTAACTTTGGCTTCAGGAGTGACCTTGGTGATCTTTGGGAACAGGGCACAGACAAAAACCATAGCTTAAGATTTTGGTATCATGAATGCAAGGAAAATGAGTTACGTGAAAAATGTGTTGTGTGAGGTAAATAACTGAGATTGTATGTGCTGCTAATGCTGAGTGAGAATGCATGATTAGCTTCACAAAATTACAATATTAGTCTGACTATCCATAAATGCAATGGTATTTTGTTTTTTTGTTTTTTGCAGTACTGGGGCTTGAACTCAGGGCCTATACCTTGAGTGACTCCAGCAGCCCTTTTTTGTGATGGGTTATTTCGAGATCGGGTCTTGAGAACTATTTGCCCAGGCTGGCTTCGAACCACGATCCTCCTGATCTCTGCCTCCTGAGTAGCTAGGACTATAGATGTGAGCTGCCAGCGCCTGGTGAAACCACAAATATTAAGTCCTAGGTCTAGGACTGCAGGCTTGAGCCACTTGTGCCTGACTATGCAATGGCATATTTTAATATACCCTTGCAGGAAATGGAAAAAGACAGTATTTGTATAGAAAATATTTGAAAAAAAATTAATACAATAAAAAATATATTTTTGGTGGTAGTGGGGTTTGAACTCAGGACTTTGTGCTTACTAGGCAGGACTCTACCACTTGAGTTATTACTCCCCCAGCCTCCCAATTCTTGATTTTATTGTCCTACCACGTATGTCTTCTTAATTCAAAGTCTATTACCCAAATTCTATCCAGGAGGGATGACAAGGAACAAAGGGCAGAAAGTAAAAATAATTTATGAGCTGGTGCCTGTGGCTCATGCCTATAATCCTAGCTACTTAAGAAGCAAAGATCAGGAGGATTGAGGTTCAAAGCCAGCCTGGGCAAACAGGTCAAAAGACCCTATCTCAAAAACACAAAAAGGGCTGGTGGAGTGGCTCAAATGGTAGAGCGCCTGCCTAGCAAGCATGAGGTCTTGAGTTTGTAACCCTCCAAAAAATTCATGAGATTGTCTGACAAGCTTTTCATACTTACAAATTTATAGCAGACGTTTAGTAATTAGGAAAGTAGGATGAAGCTATTGTTAAAAAAAGAGAAGTCATTCTAAAGCAAAGGTAGCATGAATATATTTGATAAAGAGAGATGCAGGCCGGGCACAGTGATGGTCATCTGCAATCCTAGGAGACAGGAGGATCAGGAGTTTGAGGCCAGCCTGGGCTACATAGTGAGATCCTGTCTTTAAAAAAAAAAAAAAAACCCTGCCAAACAAATTATCCTCCCCCCCCCAAAAAAAGAGATATGCAGTACTTTCCTCATGCAGTCAGAAGGAAAATTCCAACAATTATCAAAGCATCATTTTTTTTCAGTTACTCTTACTTGGTGAACAATTAAAAAACACTATATAAAAATTCACTTGTGAAAGCTGGTGATGCATCTCTCTAGTAGAGAGCTTGCCTAAGATGTGTGAAGCCCTGGATTTGATCCCCTGTGCTGCACAAACAGAACAAGACCTTATTGATTCTGTCTGAGGTGTGGCTCAGTGGTAGATCACTTGCCTGCGAGAGGTCCTGGATCTGACGCCCAGCACCGCAAAACAAAACAAAATTTTTGCCGAACACCAACCAGTGGCTCACGCCTGTAATCCTAACTACTCAAGAGGCAGAGATCAAGATTGAGGTTCAGAGCTAGTCCTGGGCAAATAGCCCCTATCTTGAAAAACCTATCACAAAAAAGGGCTGGTGGAGTGGCTCAAGCAGTAAGAGCACCTGCCTAGCAAGTGTGAGGCTCTGAGTTCTAAATCCAGTGCTGCCAAGAAAATTCCAAACACTCTCAAATCTAAAGGTATATAAGAATTAACGTTTTTGGCTAGGGACATGGCTCAACTGATAGGGTGCCTGTGTAGCAAGTGCAAGGCCTTGAGTTCAAACTCCAGTACTACCACCAAAAAAAAAGTAAATAAAATAATTACATTTCAATTCACCCATGAATCCAACAAAATTCAAACTAGAAATATAAAATTTTATTAATTGATTTAATGAATAAATGTTAGCAAACACTTTTGGACTATTGCTTAAAGGGGGGAACAATTACAGAACCATCTCACTTCAAAGCTTCTTATTTGTTTATTTTGGTGGGACTAGAGTTTGAACTCAGGGCTTCACACTTGCAAAGCAGGTGCTCTACTACTTTAGCCACACCTCCACTTAAAAGCTTCTCTGCAGAAGAAGTGGAAATTGAGTGTCTAGAGATGCACTTTAAGAAGGAAGCAATGACAAAAATGTACATTTAGCTTTTATAATGTTTCTTTTACAGTTTCATTTTTCTGGCCCATCTTACACAAGTTACCTTGCACCTAGCTTCCTACATTACTTACATTTATAGGAATTCTCCACAATGGCAATTTTCATGACTGAAAGTAAGTGTTAAAATTGAAAATGTCTCCACCTCCTCACGTTCACTATTTCTGTCTAGTGTGCAATTTCACGTGTTTATTTAAGGATGTGGACAAAGTGAAGGCTTTCCCACATTGCTTACATTGAAAAAGCTTCTCTCCACTGTGTGTTCTTTCATGTCTTTGAAAGGAGCTGCGGAGACTGAAGGCTTTCCCACATTCTTTGCATTTATAGGGCTTCTCTCCGGTGTGCATTCTCATGTGTCCCTGAAAACTTGTGGGATAAATGAAGGCTTTGCCGCACTCCTTACACTCATAGGGCTTCTCTCCAGTGTGGGTTCTTTCATGGATCTGAACGTAACTAGAACAACTAAAGGCCTTGCCACAGTGTTTACATTCATATGGTTTTTCTCCTGTGTGAGTTCTTTCATGTGTTCGAAATGCACTGAGAAAAATGAAGGCCTTCCCACATTCCCTACATTTGTAAGGTCCGTCCCCAGTGTGCGTTATCATGTGTCTTCGAAAATTTTCGAGAGAAATGAAGGCTTTTGCACATTCCTTACATTCGTAGGGTTTTTCCCCAGTGTGATTTCTTTCATGTATTTGCAAGTCTAGAGGGTAATTGAAAGTCTTCCCACATTTTTTACATTCATAGGGTTTTTCTCCAGTGTGAGTCCTTTCATGTACCCGACAGTAACTGAGACGACTGAAGGCTTTCCCACATTCTCTGCACTTATAGGGTTTCTCTCCAGTGTGCACTCTTGTGTGTACCCGAAAGGCTGGTCGAGCACTGAAGGCTTTCCCACACTCCTTACATTTATAGGGTTTCTCACCAGTGTGAGTTCTTTCATGAATTTGAACGGAAGTGGAGCATCTAAAGGCTTTACCGCACTGTTTACATTCATAGGGTTTCTCTCCAGTATGAATTCGTTCATGTACTCGCAGGAAACTGGGACGAATGAACGCCTTCCCACATTCCTTACATTTGTAAGGTCTCTCTCCATTGTGTGTTACCATGTGTGTCTGAACACTTGTGCGGGAAATGAAGGCCTTTCCACACTCCTTACATTTATAGGGTTTCTCTCCAGTGTGCGTTCTTTCATGGATTTGAATAGAACTGGGACAACTGAAAGCTTTTCCACATTTCTTACACTCATAGGGCTTCTCTCCAGTGTGAATCCTTTCATGAATTCGAAGAGAACTGGGAGAACTGAGAGCTTTACCACAATGCTTACACTGATAAGGTTTCTCTCCGGTGTGTGTCCGTTCATGTGTTTGAAAGGGCTGGTGATAGATGAAGGTCTTCCCACACTGTTTACACTTATAGGGGTTTTCCCCAGTGTGAGTCCTTTCATGTCTCTGAAAGGATTTGAGGTAACTGAAGGTGCTCCCACATTCCTTACATTTATATGGCTTCTCTCCATACTTAAACCCATCAAGTTCATGTCCAGGGTGAGATTTGATGTGCCTAGTAAGGGATGAATGAAGCATGAAGACTTTTCCACACACACTACATTCATATGGTTTCACTCCAGTAGTTCTCTTGGTCACACTGAGTCCAGGCATCTGGTTGACGGTATCTCCACACTGACCACCTTCTTTATTTTCACCAAACCTCTGTATCATATAACTTCTGTAAAAAAATTAGAAGCACATTGATAATGACTTTAAGTATTATATGCTTATTAACAAGTATTAGAATATTTTTATAGCCAGGATATAGTGATGCACCACCTGTAATCCCAGCACTTGGGAGGCTGAAGCAGGAGGATTGTGAGTTCCAGGCCAGACTGGGCTACATAGTAAGATTTTTTTTTTTTTATTACTGGGGTTTGAACTCAGGACCCTGAGCTTGCCAGGCTGGTTCTCTACCACTTGAATGATACCTCCAGCCCTTTTTGCTCTAGGCATTTATACCAGGCTGGCTTGGACAGTGATACTCCTATTTACACTTCCCACCTAGCTGGAATGACAAGTGCATGCCAACACACTGCATTCCTCGGATGGTGATCCTCCTGATCTCTGCCTACCAACTACCTAAGATTACAGGAGTGAGCCACTGTACCTGGCTAGAGAGCCTGCTTTTAAACAAACAAGCAAACAGAACTGGGGGAATGGTTCAAGTGGTAGAGCGCTTATCTAGCAAGCATGAGGCCTTGGCTTCAAATCCCAGTACTATCAGCAAACACACAAACAAAAACCCCAAACAACAACATCAATAGAAACTGATGTTCATAAATGGGGTTTCTGAATGCTGTTTCTAAGTAAAATATTTTCAAATGTTGACAATCTGTATCATTTACAACATTTTTGGTGAAAATTTTCTAAGAGGAAGCAAATTTAAGTGTAGGTTTGTTTTGGTTTTTTGCTTTTAAGATTTCATAGTAATTTTCAACTAAAATATATAGGAAGATTCTTTCAAAGGATACTGATTTCTCTAGTGTAGATGACTCACCTTAGATCTGTTCCCTGAATTTTGTGCTGATCTGTAATGTTCTGGTCTTCCCATTTATTTCCTAAAATGTAGACCCAGAAAATCATTATAAATTGTTAGAAATTACAGACACATTCTTAGATCCTAGGTCCACAATGATCATGCCTGATTTATTTACCAAGGTATCTACTTTTCACATTCTAAATCTTGGGACAGTGAGGAAGGGCAGGAAGCATGTGAAGGAATGATGTCCCCTTACCTACAGAGGTCAGGTTCCTGAAGGTTTCCCGCATGACATCTCGGTAGAGTCTCTTCTGGGAAGGGTACAGCAGAGCCCACTCCTCCTGGGTAAAATTCACAGACACGTCCTCAAAGGCCACTGGGTCCTAAAACATTCCACACGTGTACAGAGGGAGTGAGATCACCAGAGATGGGGAATCCATACTCAAATTCCTAAGTTCACATATGTTTCTGGGATCTCCAAATGTTTATTGTTATGTATTGGTTGTTGGAAGTTTCTTTGTCCATATTGACTTTTACAAGTTGAACAGCACCTGCTAGACATGGACTTACACTATTTTTTATTATGATCACTGCAAAAAAAAAATTTTTTTTTTTTACAGATGAGGTCTTGGCCTAGAGGTATGGCTCAAGTGGTACACAATCTGCCTAGCAAGCTCTGAGTTCAAATCCCAGTACCATCAAAAAGAAAAAAGAAAAGACAAGGTGTTAGGCCAGGCATGGTGATGCATGCCTGAGGCAGATAGGAGATCTGTGGTTCAAGGCCAGCCTTGGCCAAAACAAGCTGGTGTGGTAGCACATACCTACAATCTCAGCTATGTGGGATATGGAGGTAGGAGGATGGTGGTCTGAGGCCATTCATGGGCAAAAGTGAGACCCTATATGAAAAATAGATAAAAGGGCTGGGGACACTGCTTAAGAAGTACAGTCCTTGCCTGACAACCAAGAGGCCCTGAGTTCAACCCCCAGTACTGACAAAAGAAAAAAGGAAAACAAAACAAAAAAAAGTCTCACTATGTAGCCCACACTGGCTTTGAACTTGAGATACTCCTGCCTCAGCCTCCTAAGATGGCACAGGTATGTGCCATCACACCTGGCTATCACTGCAAGTCTTATTGGTCTCTAATGGTAGCATCTATTTCAATGTGGAGAAGTGAAATTCTTTTTATCAATTTTTTTGTGGGAAAAACTTTCATTTCTTTCTTTCTTTTATTTTTTTGAGACAGCGTCTAATAGCCCAAGGTGGCTTGGAACTCCTACCTCTGCCTCTCAAATGCTGGGATTACAGGTGTGTGCGACACATCCAGATCTCATTTCTTATTGGGCATAAAAGCCAACACACTCTAAACCAATGGTCAAAGCAGAGTGAGTTTTTAGTGAGGATCTGCAAGCTTTTTCTTCAGTTCCCATTGTTATACACAAGAAGTCAGAATATTCAACTGTAAAGACATTTAGCTGACTGTTGTTAGAAATGAATTTGGGATACTGGGGTGTCATGAGAGAGATGACACAACTCAGAAGTCAATAGGCAAGGCAAAATTTACTTCTGCAGAAGGGTGTGCCACAGACAAAAGAGTCTGGTTGGCAAGCACACTGAGCAAGAAGTCCACCCAGGTTTTATCTCTAGTGCAAATCTGCCCTCACCCTGATTGAAAGGGTTTCGGGTTCACAATCTTCACGATTGCCTAATTTGAAAAGGGGGCACATGGAGCAAGGGACCTTGGGGCAGGGAGAACAAAGATTTTCTTGAACAACGATTGCCTTAAGCAACCAGTTTTTGAAACTAGGGCACCTGGAGATAATAGGAACTTGCTCAGCTAAGAACAGCCCTTTGTTTAAAACAGGAATTTACAAGGCATGTAGGCAACAATGTGGGGAAGTTAAGCTGACATGTATACAATGATAATATACTATACATTAACCCCTTTGACAGAAAAGACCCGACTTTAGTTAATTCTCGCAATGACCATATTGTCCTGAGGTTCTTGAGGAATTAGAGGTACTGAGGTTCCGCTGGGTAAATGAAGATCATATAGCCCAGGCTGGCCTCGAACTTGAGATGGTTCTGCTTCACCATCCTGAGTGGTGGTATTACAGACATGCACTACCATGTCTATTTTGAAAATGTCCTTTCAGGTGGGTGCCAGTGGCTCATTCCTGTAATTCTAGCTACTTGGGAGGCTGGCTACTTGGGAGGATAGAAGTTCGAGTCCAGCCCAGGCAAACAGTTCCACAGACCCCATCTCCAAAGTAACCTGATCAAAATGGACAGCAGTGTAGCTCAGGTGGTTGAGCACCTGCTTTGCAAGTGCAAAGCCCAGTTCAAACTCCAGTTCCACTGGGGGGAAAGGGGTGTGGAGGAATGTTCTTTTAGAGAAGCATTAACTCCAACTTGTTTGTTTAATATTAGAGCCATTTCATTTCTAGGAAGTTACTGGGAAGATAGTGGTCAGGCACAAGGAAGAACTTAAGACCTCCACAAAATCCCTGTAGTTTCGAAACTCAGAGCTGTTTCCACACTGTGAGCACACATCCTCTGAGACAAGATGTCACAACACTTCTGGCAGACCCTGAACAGTATAATATGGGCCTTGCTGACCTTAAGGGACAGGTTAGTATCACTCTGTACAGGACTTCTCTGATGTCTACAATGGTCAGGTGAGTGTGCCCATGATTACGAAATACATAAGGTTCAGTGGTGCTGTCCTCCAAAATAACATGAAATCCCCTTTCTCCCAGCCCAGGACTGGACACCAGAGCTGCTGACCAGACATTCTAGAGGCTGGTTTCCCAGTTTCACTTCCTTGCACTCATGTACATCACAGATGAAAATGACTGGGGGAGGGAGTGGCACCTGTCTACCAAGCACAAGTCCTTGAATTCAAACCCCAATACTGCAAAAAAGAAAAAATGAGAAGGAGTTGGGTACCAGTTGCTCACACCTGTAATCCTAGCTACTCAGGAGGCAGAGATCAGGAGGATTGAGGTTTGAGGCCAGTCGGAGCAAATAGTTTGAGAGACCTTATCTCGAAAATATCCATCACAAAAAAGGGCTGGTGGAGTGGCTCAAATGGTAGGGCACCTGCCTAGCAAGCATGAGGCCCTGAGTTAAGACCCCAGTATTGCCAAACAAAACAAAAAAGGGGTTCATTTCTGTGAGGAAATTATTAAATAAAATGCCAACAACTCATATTGATGGGAATAACAAAAACTTAATCAGATAATCCCAGCATTGATGAGTATAGAAAAGCTCATGTACAAATGGTGGGTGAGCTAGAATGCTCCACTCCCTTTTCCTACAAATTTAGATTAGAACATTGTCCAGCATTATTATTTTTTTTAGGGGGGGTGGGTACTGGGGTTTGATCTCAGGGCCTCACACTTGCTAGGTAGGTGCTGTACCACCTGAGCCGCACCCCCAGCCCTTTTGTTTTAGTTATTTTGGATAGGGTCTTGGGTTTCTGCCCAGGCTGGCCTGGACCAAGATCCTCCTCTTTACACTTCCCAAGTAGCTGGGATGACAGGCACGTGCCACCATGCCCAGGTCTCACTGGTTGAGGGGAGGTCTTGCAAACTTTTTCTGGTACCCCAATCCTCCAAATCTCCACCTTCCGAGTAGCTAGGATTACAAGCGTGAGTCGTTGCACCTGATTGGACCAGAAATTTAAAATACAGTTTTCAGAGAATTCATTATGCATTTGCGCTTGGAGACCAAAACAAAAATAAGAGCCCTGTTTTTCACAAAGCAAAAAATAAATATGAAAAAGCCCAAAGACCATGACAACTAGAATGGATGAGTGAATAGATGACCTGTAGGATCAGACATTAATTAGCATGTGGAAAACACACTGGGGTACAAAACCACCAAAAAAGTATTTTAAGTATAATTTCGGGGGCTGTGGATGCTGCTCAGTGGTACAACACTTGCCTAGCATGCAGAAGGCTCTGGATTTCATTCCCAGCAATGACAACAAAAAACTCCAAAGAATTTGTGTAATTTGTATGTTTGTTCGTCATTATGTGGCAATGCATCTTTTTTTAAAAAAATGATTTTGACTTTTTTATTAGCATACATTAATTGTACAAAGGGGCTTTATTGTGATATTTCTGTACATGCATACTAATGTACTTTGATCAAACTCACCCCCTCTATTACTCTTATCTCCCCCCTCCATGCAATGTGTGATTTAATTCAGTTTTGGCAGCAAAAACTGTAAACAAAGTAGGTGTCTAGTTAGATAAAAATGGTTATATAAACCATCATGTTTGTCTTTTTTATTATTTTTGTGGTGCTGGAGATTGACCTCAGGCCTTGCACATGGCTAGACAATCACTCTATCACTGAGTTACATCCTCAGCTCCCATGTGTATCTTTTAAAAAGAAAGGGTGGCATGTACTGATATGAAAACATGGAGGATTCATCAACAGAACAGTTAAGCAAAGTGCAGTGCAATATGTACCTCCGCTTACCTTTTCTATAATTGTGATGGGGCCTGATGGAGTGGCTCAATGGTAGAGTACCTGCTGAGCAAGTGTAAGGCCCTGAGTTCAAATGCCAGTACCAGAAAAAAAAAAGGCCTATAATTGTGCTAGTAACCTGCAGAGGCAGGTGGATCCTCACTTAAGGAACTGATGACATACACATGTTCCAATATGGTATGGACGTGTTTATTAGTTTTGTAAGTAAGGTCTTTGGGGAGGCCAGGGCTAGTATGAAATGTCTTGAGAGCTCAAGGAAAGGAGTGAAGTTTTTTTTTTTTTAATTGAGGGCAGGGTTGTACTAGGGTGAGAGGTAACCACAAGGATCAGGGCTTATGTGGAATGCCTACTCCCATCAAAGAAGAACCCAGGTTTACTTATCTTCTTGTAGAAAGTTTATCAGCATTCCAACATTAAAAAAAAAAAAAGCCAGGCATGGTGGCTCACACCTGTAATCCTAGCTATTTGGGAGGCAGAAAACAAGAGGCTCATAGTTTGAGGTCAGCCTGAACAAAAAGTTAGCTAGATCCCACCTCAACAAAAAATGCCAGGCAAGGTGGCATGTACCAGTCATCACAGCTATGCAGGAAGTGTAAGTAGGAGGATCTCAGTCCAGACTGGCCCAGGCAAAAACACAGGCCCTTACCTAAAAAATAAACAAGGCAAAAGGGCTGGGTGGCTAGGCACCAGTGGATCATGCAGACATCAGGAGGATCGGGGTTTGAGGCCAGACCAGGCAAATAATTAGAGATCCCATCTCAAAAATACCCAACATGGAAAAAAGAGCTGGCAACGTGGCTCAAGTAGTAGAGAGCACCTGCCTACCAAGCTCAAAGCCCTGAGTTCAAACCCCCAGTACTGGGTGGCGGTGGCGGGGGAA